ATTCAATGGAAACGTCAGCTCAACTCATATCATTGTGGGAAAATTCTACTACCAGTCCTTCATCACCTCATTACACTGATTTACTGGTAGTCTCGAAACCCTACTCAAATACGACTATAACGTAAACTAAGCCTATTTTCAACCAGTCCAGACTGTGAGTGGGCAGATGATTATTCGCCATAGGGTACATACACTCTACCATGAGCCTCCATCCATTCTGCTCCGTTGGCAGGCTTCGGGCGTGGCCGATTCATGAAACGAGAGTTTAGAAATCCTTCTTGATCAAAGTTTTGGGGCTAGCAAATACAGTTGCTGGGGCGACAAATGAGGTGTAGGTAAGCAATCGAGACACGGCCTACCTTTCAGTCAGAGACTTGCACCACTCTTCGACGGGGATTTTGAAGCCGCTCCGGATCGTCATGGGAGGCAGACTCGGGGTCTCCAGGCAATGTACGAAGAGCACATAGTCCTCTTTGCGCCACATCTGATCCAGATACCATCTGAGCGCCCGAAATGAATGCTCACTCCCGTCGACAGCGAGCAGAATTCGCCGCTTCGCCGTCTCCACCATCATGTCAAATTGCAATTACGGTTGCGATTGCCTTTGTGATTGTGATTGTGATTGTGAATGAGGCTGTGACTGTGATTGCAATCGCGGCCACAGACGAAGACAGAAGTGGGTCCGAGTGTCCGGTGCGGGAGACCCGATGTGCCGTCCTGACGGGCACAAAACCGGCCCTTTTATGCGCAGTCGATCGGCTGGTCTTGCATTGCAGCATCGATTGTCGCGGCATCGTCTGTTCCCTCGGCCGGTTCAGTCGGTCTCGGCGAGCAGAGCAGAGCAGGGAAGAGAAGAAAAGAGACCAGGCGAGATTAAAAGTGAAAAGACGAAGAGACGAAAAGAGACGAAAAGAGACGAAAAGAGACGAAAAGCGACGAAAAGAGACGAAAAGTGACGAAAAGAGACGAAAAGAGATGAGAACAGGCGTCAACTGCTCACGTGCACAAAGTCCGGCCCAGAACTGACCGGCAGACCGAGTTGCAGACGGGCCTATCAACACAGCCACAATCACTTGTTTCACTGCTGCTCTCCGTCTGTAGAGCTGGTGGCATGGCGACAAGACGAGAGTGACGATAGGCGAGTTGCCGAGACGCCAGAAGGCCTTGGAGACACGGCCGGCAAACACAATTGGGACTTGGGGCTGTGGCGAATTAGGTCAGACTGCCAGGGCTAAACTGGAACGAGTCACACAAACACTGAGACTAATGGATCAGGCTTAATATCTCGCAGCCTAGGGCTAGCAACACCGTCTACACGCCTACTTACTGCCAAAATAAGTAGTGACGCCGGGTGAAAAGGCAAATACATATTTGTATTCAGATGAAGTAGCATTTCGAGACTGTCATTTGATCGCTTAGGCTGAAAATGGATTGATGGTGAATTTTGCCACAATTATTTGAGGGGGACTCATGGCACCATTGAATTGTATACAATCTTGCTTCCAAAAGGTATTTTGTCAGGGTTGAACTGCAGTTTCGACTTTAGTGGGGTCGGAAATGCAGTCTACTCCAGTCCCGGCAGGAAACAAAAACATTTTTTGGAAGCAGGACTATGTGGAATTCAATTGCATCGTTGGACCTATCTATCGCTATCAATCGTTCCTCACCTTAAATTACTCAGAATGAATTAAATCTTTCTCAAGATCTACTAATAAAATCAAAACCTATTCTAAATGAATAAATAAACATAAAATTATATATATATATAAATATATATATATAAATATATAAATATATAAATATATAAATAAATATATATATATATATAAGCGGACAATCATACTTCTTTCCTTCACCTTATAGCTAATCAATTATGTTTCGTAGTAACTCTTAGGCTTTGAAACAACTATTGGATCTTGAATAAGAGTTGTATTTCTCCTTGATCGTACAAAGTTAGGCTGAGTAGGTATCTATATTATATTTAGATCTTGAGTAAGAACTTGATTAATCATAGGTCAAATATTGTGATGTAGGACTAGAATTTGAATTTTTCCGCACTAATTATATATATCAAAATAGGTTTATATTTACTACACCGAGTAACGGCTGGACAACTTCAACCGAAGGTGAATATAATTCTTAGCAGTGAATTTTCATCATGATACCATTGAGTTATATATATATATAGTGGGAAGATTCAACCATCAGTGCTTCATCACTTCATCTCACTTATGATGGATT